TTTGTCCATCTTCCAGCACAGGCACCATCAGGAGACTCAGAACCCATGACACCATGGAGCTTTCAGTCAGCTTGGGAAGTAAATGATGTTGGGAGTCTGCAGGACATGTGAACTGGAGAGGTTAATATAACATAACATGGTCAAGGTTGGAGCATAGGCAGAGTCACCCCCAAGGTGGGACCTCGGCCTCTCATACCTACCAGCCTAATATAGAGATCATGTGGTTTGGGACAGCACTTCTCAGACTAAGTGCTGGATATGTTGTTCAGTAAGTGATCCAATTCAATAAGTCTGGGATGGAGCTTCTAACAAGCTCCCAGGTGAGGCGGATGATGGTCTGAGCACCACATTTGAGTACCAAAGGTTTGAAGGTTTCTATATAACCCCCCTAGTTTTATATAAAGTTCCTAGTTTGATTCCTATCACATTGCAAGTTCTTGATAAATAGCTATTATTGTGAAAAGTGTTTTGACAACTAACAGTTATGTGGCATAGAATATTAGAATAAATCCAGCTGATTTTGCCCAATAGGGAAAGGCTGCTTCAAACCTGGGTCAAATTCTGATGATTCAGAAAATGGAAGGAATCACCTCTCCACCAGTTTCACTTACCCCTCCAATGAGGGGACTTAGGGAGGTATCTCAGCCACAGTCACGGTGCTTAACTATTCCCTTAGAACACGTACTTTGCATCTTACAGCTGCATTCTCTTCAAGAAATTTCATCTAGAGAAAATAATAGCACTAAACCCAGTTTTGATCATATTCCCATACCATTACAGTCAGGGAAAGAGATTATTAGTCTCCAAACAAATCCAAGTACTGGCTCTTTCTAAAGGGTAAGAACAGAAACCCAGAGGAAAAAAAAGGTGACTACCATGAATCGAGTGAGAGCACATTAACCCATGACTTAGATGCTTAGATGCACATGATCTCCATATTAGGCTGGTAGGTGTGAGAGGATGAGCTCCCACCTTGGGGGTGGCTCTTTGCCTGTGCTCCACCCTTGACCATGCTATGTTATTTTAATCTCCCCAGTTCACATGTCCTACAAACTACCAACATAATTTACTTCCCAAGCTACCTGAAAGCTCCATGGAGCCACGGGTTCTGAGTCTCCTAATGGTGCCTGTACTGGAGGGTGGACAAAACGACTGATGAACATGAGATAAATTCTTACATCTAGTTTGATGTTGTTGCTGTCGTTTTGGTTCATCTGATGAATTTGAGAGACATAAGGCTAAGAGAAATGAATATTTGATTGGATAGAGTTTGATCAAGGTTGTGCAACATGAATAACATATGGTAGCAATACTTATCTTCATCATTGATAAATGCAATAATGCACTATGAAAAGGTAGCGATCATGGAACCTATAAACATATGACAACACAGCTGCAAAATGCAAAAAGTAAAAATGAGCTGAATAGAAGAAATTGATGGAATTAACTCACTGTGGAAGACCTGAACACACCCCATTCAGGAATCAATAGGTCAAACTGACTAAAGAATTTAGAGAGTTCGAAGAATATAAACCTTCCTTTTCTGCTTGATTGGATGTCAACAGGTAGGTAGTTAGAGTCAAAGACAGAATGGACTTTCTTTCCAGACACAAATTAAACATTCACAGACATTGGCCATGTGTTAGGGCACAAAGGAAATCTCAACAAATTCCAAAAAGTAAAAGTTACATGGACCACTTTGAACATATTGAAAATAAAATTAGAAATTACCAAAAAAACCTTCTAATATTTAAATCTTAACATCACATTTTCAAATAACTCTTGCATTAGAGAAGAAATTGAAACTGAAAATAAAACTCTATAGATATAAATAACAGAGAACATACTATACGCCAAAACCTATAGGATACAACAGTAACACAGAGAGGATAATTTATAGCAGTAAGTATACTATACCCAAAACAACAAAAATGCCAAGTAAATGAGTCATTTGTCAATTCAAGAAGATGCAAAAGGAACAAGACAATAACACATCTTAGGAAGAAAAAAGAATAAACGTGGGAGTGGGGGGTGTGGAAGAACCAGTGATTTAAAATGTAGATAAAGATGATAAACAATAAGAAAAACTGGGATTTACTGAGATGTACCTGTGAAATCACCCTGTACTGTTTTCCAATATATATATGAATCTCAAAATAGTCTCTGGTTTGTAATGAAAATATGAGATATCCATACACTTTGCTTTGAGAATAAATATGCTTTGAAAATATATTTTTTAAACGACCGAAACTCTTGATGTAACATTCAGCCTAATGTTAATAGTTACCACTAAGCCTGCTTCATAATCTACAACGTGAGGATAGTAATAGTATGCACATGGTGTTTCACTGAAAGTTTATGTAAAGGTATACTTTGTATAAAAAGTTCTTAAAATAGTGCCCAACAAAGAGCAAGCCCTCCATAAGTGTTAGTCAATATGATTCTTATTAATAGATAAGGAGAGTTGTCCCACTTGGTTTATAAAGTCCTTTTGTTCCTCTTTGGGCTTTTTTGAATATAGTGAGTTTTTAGAAACTTTTGTTTAATTTGAAAGTGTACCTCCACCAGAAAACAGGCAGGTTCTGCAGGAAGAGAAGGATCTACCCTGCAGACGCTTCCTACAAATGATGAACAGTGTGGGGAGACATCAAGATGTAGGTTTCAGCTCTCTGTAATAATGCAGCTGATGGGTGTTGATTTATACATATTTGTTAGTCTGGTTTATTTATTAAAAGAGGAACAGAAAGAAATAGATATTAGCTCAGGATACACTTTCCTTATGTCTTTCCTGAGACATTCCCATCCTGTGGAACTTGGACTAATGATCAATGTCCCCAGCATAACAGCCATGTCCCTATCCACCTTGTATATGAAAAAACACACACTGCTCTATCCACACTCACTTCTCTTCCTGGGCCCTAAACTCACATTTCAGTTCAGAGTCTTCAGCTGGACAGCATTTTTACCCTAAGGCACCTAGCTAAATAAGCCCCTTGACAGGGAAGAAGGGTTTTCTGTGGAGACCATTTGCCCTCCCATCTTACGAGGGTTTCAGATAGACTTGTGTGTAGCATTAAAGAATAAAGAGCTTTTCAAATTACCCCTGACACCAAAGAATAACTATAGCCTGCCCACCTTGAAGCAAGTATCTTGGCAGTGACAGACCCTCAGATGTTTCCATTTCTAATGTTAAACATCTGTCTCAGATGTTTCTGTCTCTCACCACTGCTACTGGGGCTGGGAACATTTGTCTGCAATTGGTTACAGAAATTAGAAATTGTTTTGAGAGCTGCAAGTGTACCCTATAACTTTGTGATTAATCATACAGATTAAATCTGATTTGCAATCCTAAAACCCTGTAGGAATAATCAATCAAAGGCAAATTTGTTTTTATATCTTGTATTCTACTTTATGCATTTTTTTAAAATATGTTCCAGAGGCCCGGCCTGGTGGCTCATGCCTGTAATCCCAGCACTTTGGGAGGCTGAGGCAGGTGGATCACTTGAGGTCAGAAGTTTGAGACCAGCCTGGCCAACATGGTGAAACCCCATCCCTACTAAAAATACAAAATTAGCCAGGCAAGGTGCTCATGCCTGTAATCCCAGTTACTCAGGAGGCTGAGGCAGGAGAATCACTTGAACCTGGGAGGTAGAGATTGCAGTGAGCCAAGATTGTGCCACTCCACTCCAGCCTAGGCGACAGAGCAAGACTGTGAAAAAATAATAATAATAAAAGGGAGGAAGGGAGGGAAGGAAGAAAGAAGGAAGGAAGGAAGGAAGGAAGGAAGGAAGGAAGGAAGGAAGGAAGGAAGGAAGGAAGGAAGGGCGGACAAGTGACCCCCTTTCAGACCAACTGAATTAGAATCCCTGAGGGTGGGGCCCAGCAATTCGTTTAAGCAAGATTTCTGCTTATTCTGACTCTGGGGGAAGTTTCGGAAACACTGTCCTGGACCACACCTTGAAAAGTACTGATTGGGGAACACTGAATGCTACCTGGGAGTGTCAGAATACTTCATTCATGTCAGTTAACATGAATTGAACTCCTACTAGGGGCCAGACCCTTTGCTAATAAGCACTGATTATTTGAGATGATTAATTAGATACTGTTAGGCTCTCAGTAGACTAGGAGGTTGTCTTACATCAGAGCCTCGGGGAATAGTTTTGAGCGGCTTTTCTTTCTACTTTCCTCTGCTTCCTAGTTTCCTCTTTCTACCTGCTCTGCAACACCCAAGATCTAGAAAACAGACACTGGAAGGAATTTACACCAAGTCACTCCTGAATCTCAAGACGCAGTTTAATGTGCTAATATGAGGGAAGTATTACAGGCTGTGTTGATCATAAATGCCATTTCGCTACTAACATCCTTTCAGCTATTGAAATTACTATTAATAAACATCCTTATGCCTCTTCAGCTGCTGTCTTTTAGAATGCTAACATGCATGAGTTTGGGGTTTATAGGAGCAATTTATTAAGCACTAGCTAAACATCCCAACAGAAGATCTGGAGGTGCACTCGGTGCCTGCTCTCCAGCCGTTCTTGTTAGGAGAAGAGGAATTGCTTTTTCAGCTTTGAAATACTGTGTGTATGCATCAGCCCTCCTTTCAAATCACAAATGTATCTCCATGTTTTAGAGCAGGACAAAGGTGTGGGAGCTCCTGGGGGAACCGTGAAAGTGATGAAACCAAGGGTATCTGCCACATGGCTTCTCTGCCATCGCACCAGCTGCCCATCAGCCAGACCTGGATAGGTTGCTGTCAGCTTGGAGCCAGGGGGCCCTACAGCTGTTCTTCACATGCTAAGAATAACAACTTTGAGAGGAGATTGCCAGGGAAACATAGGAAACTTGAGTATGCATGGTGGGGGGATGGGGAGAGAGAGGAAGAGAGAAGAGAGAGAGCATGCACAGAAACATTCATCAGCAAATAGACCTGAAAGAGTGGGACAGAGCAATAGCACTACAGGTCTGAAAGCACATGCACCCCTGCCTTGTAATAAACTGACCTGTTAAAAGGAAAGGTCAGTGCCTTGCTTAGGCTGAAGATAGACATTTTCCCCCAGGAATCCAGCAGCAAAATATAAAGATGGAACTCAGGCCGGAAGGCACTCTTGTTTGTCTCCTTGTGGTACTCCTGTGAGAGGTGCTGCTTAGAGACTGGAGGCCCAGGCACTCTGCTGGTTTCCCTGGTTTCAGGCTTCCATGGTGCTCAGCACCACAGCCATAAGCCTCGTGCCCAGACGTTAGTAGAGGAAAGCTGATTAACAAATACTGCGTTTATTCCACTCTTAGCCAAGGTTATGGGACCGTCCCGAATGAGCAAGGCTTTCTGAATATTAAGCTCCACATCCTTTTTTACAAACAAGGTTGGCCAGAACTATTCTATCATTTATTCTCCTGAACAACCCCGTGAGATTGGTACTGTTTGTCCTGTTGAGAAAACTAAAGCTCAGAGATGGCGATGAACTTACCCAGACTCATCCAGCTTCTGAGTGCCAGAGCCAACAGTCCTGCTAGGTCTTCCTGACATCAATGCCTTTATCCACCCACTTCACTAAACTATGGCTCACAATCTACTCAACTTCCCCACGGGTCCATAGCTTTATTCTGGAGGATAGATCCCCAATCACTTGGGAATGCTGGAATTTCATTTCTGTGCGTCTTGTGATTCAGGAGTGACTTGGTGTAAATTCCTTCTGGTGTCTGTTTTCTAGATCCTAATTTCTAAAATGGAGACATGGAAATAAATTCTCATGTATTTAAGCAAAACACAGAGTTCACATCTCTACATCATCTCATGAGCACATGTTCTGGTGGCCAGAACAGGTATTCGAAAATTAGCAGGCTCAGTAAGATGCTCTGTCAGTTATCAAATGACTGCCCATAAAACTAACCTCACATTAACTTACTCCATTATTTGTTTAAAGCCAGTGGTAGAATAATGCAACCCCGAAGCTTTATTATTTCTTTTTTTACTTTGTCTTCATATTTGATGCTTTGCTCAAGAATCACTGGGTAGAGAACTGCAAAACCTGTTGTCTCCAAAGAAGTTTCACTTTAGGATTTCTCCTAAGAACCTTAAATAGTATGATGTCTTTCACAAGAGCAATAAATTTGGAAAGTGATATTAATATATACTAAATCAAAAGCCCAGAAGATTCCATCTTTGCTGAGAGAGCAGTAGAATCGTGGACCTGGAAGGCGAGACGGCAGAGCCTCCTCCCCCAGGCTCTGATCTAGGCTTGCCTCCCAGTGAGTAGGTTCCTGATTTTTTTGATACAGAATTTTCATTTTTATTTTTGCAAAAAGTGATTCTGATTGTCATGCAAATAATAATAGTAATAAACATGGTAGTGCCCCAAGGCCCTAAATCTAATTTCCTTTCCCAGCTAAAGTTTTCAGTAGAAGGACAAACAAATATGTTTTTTGGTTAGGAAATCATGCTCCTGTGCAATGTTTCTTTTCCATTTTAGGTTCCTTCAGACATTTATTACTTAGTGTAATGCAGGCTGCTATAACAAAACAACGCTTACATTGCCATAGCATCATAGAAATATATTGTTTGCTCAGGTAAGAGTCCAGGTGTTACCAGACAGGAGTCACTTTCCTCTATGCAGGAATGTGGAGGACCCAAGTTCCTGCTGTCTCATGGTTTAGCCATCCTTTAAGATTCTGTTTTTCTAGCAGAAGGAGAAAGAAGGTGAGGAAAACATCTGCTTTCGAATTGCCTTAGACTGACAGGGACACACATCATTCTATTACCACTCATGGACTGTCTCTAGCCACGAAGTACCACTTTCTTGCAGTGGGAACTAGAAATGTAATTCCTGGCTGCACAGCCGTTTCCCAGAGATCATGCTCTACCATGCAAGAGTGAAGATAAAGTGCACAATTGACCATCTTAGCTACAAGAGCCCATGCCTTCTTCAAATGTGCTACTCACAGAGAAGTTTTCATTCTAGCAGATTCCTACCCCATTGGGCCCTTTACCTCCTTCCCTCTGATGGCCTGAGGACATGGCTTCCTCAGAGAGGCCTGTTGCAAACCCATGGGCACCCATGATACCAGACATGTCCCCTAGTGTAATATCATCACACTGAATCATTGAATTCCCTCTTTTGCTTGCATCTTCCCAATTAGACTGAATGCTGTAAAGGCAGGGAATTTGCCTATCTTGTTCATCACTGTATCCTGAGTGCCTAGCACTGTCTGGAATATTACAGGTGCTCAATAAATATCTGAGAAGGAAGGAGAAGGGAGGGCTGTCTCTGGAATGGACTCAATTCTGCTACCCATCATTTGCACCATGTAGGATTTCAAGAGAGTAGCCAAGAAATGGACTGGTTTCAGGCACAAGGACCCATCCTCTTTGGAGTGATAGTGGCTCATCCTCACACAAACCCTTTTGGCAACCTCTGATAACAACTGAAACAGATGAAAGATTGTCTGTCTTTGGCTTCCAAAGGTCTCTAAATACAGTGGAATTCTTTTGGCAACCTCTGATGACAACTGAAATAGATGAAAGATTGTCTGTCTTTGGCTTCCAAAGGTCTCTAAATACAGTGGAATTCTATTCAACAACAAAAGTGAATGAACTACTAATACATTCTTCAACATAGATAAATCTCAAAAATAATTATGCCAAGTGAAAGAAGGCAGACAAAAAATAGTACACACCATGTGATTTTTATTTATGTAAAATTATAGGCAATGCCAACTAACGTATAGTGACAGAAAGTTTTCTGGGCATAGATGGGTGGGTTGGGGCAGGGGCCAGTGGGTGCCTAAGAAATTTGGAGGAGTCATGAGTATGTTCATTGTTTTGATTGTGGTCATGTTTTCCTGGGTGTATACTTATCAAAACTTCTCAAGCTGTACACTTCAAATATGTGGGGTGGACTGTATATCAGTTATAATTTAATAGAGCTATTAAAAAAAAGAAAAAAGAAAAATAAACAAATGGGATGATAAAAGTGCACTAGCCCCAAACCATATCCCTCCACATTATCATTTCCAACCCTTGGGTAGTTTGTCTCTTTAAAAGTACTTCATAGGGGCTGGGTGCGGTGGCTGAGACCTGTAATCCCAGCATTTTGGGAGGCTGAGGATCACGAGGTCAAGAGATTGAGGCCATCCTGACCAACATGGTGAAACCACATCCCTACTAAAAAAAAAAAAAAAAAAAAAAAATCTGAAAATTAGCTGCATGTGATAGTGAGCACCTATAGTCCCAGCTTTCGGGAGATTGAGTCAGGAGAATTGCTTGAACCTGGGAGGTGGAGGTTGCAGTGAGCCGAGATTACGCCACTGCACTCCAGCCTGGCGATAGAGCAAGACTCCATCTCAAAAAATAAAATACTTCATAGGTAGATAGGTGTCTATCTCCATGGTAGAATTAGCAAGTATGTATTTGTGGCGCCTTTCATGGAAATAGCACAATCCTGTTGACCCCTGTCTGAACATAGCTTTCAGTTCAGAAAACTTGAGTCATATGGACTGAGTATGGGCCATTTAGATTTTCTGGTCTTTGCACACACCTATATAAGCTCTCATATTTTCAAATCTACTTCTTCCCAGGTCCAGGGCCAAACCCATCACTGACCCCCCAGGCCAGGCGCCCAGCCACTCCCCACCACTACCATGGCCGAAGACGCAGACATGCGCAATGAGCTGGAGGAGATGCAGAGAAGGGCTGACCAGTTGGCTGATGAGGTAAGGAGTGGAGACCTAGAGAGGGAGGCAAAAGATGAGGGCCTAAGTGGTTTGTCAAGTTCAGGTAAGGAAAGGCTTTCTTTTAATGTCTCAATTTATTTTAGAAAAAGTAATATGACTTTGATTTTCTATACACCTAAGGCTTCTGCAGACCAGAATGAGCTGATTATAAAACCTTCATACAAATTAATATCTTGGTCCTAATTCTCAATTTCTAGAAATCTTGAGAAGTCAGGGTCCTCTAAGAAAAGAAAGAAAGTCTTTGAGTGCCTTACATGCAGTGCTGTGCTGGAGAAGGCTCAGTTCTGAGAGCAGATTGTTAACATTTTTCGGGAACTTTGCAAGGTGGTTGCTAAATGCAGCCATTATTAAAATCTAATTACATAAACTGACAATTAGACAGATTATATTAAAATCAAAAATAATAAACACTCAAACCTCATCACTTCCTAATTATTTTGCTACATTTTACTACTATCCATGCTTTTGAGATCCATCCATTGTATCTATAGGGTGGAAATAAGGTGTAATAATGTGTTACTATGTATTTTTCCAACTTCATGATCGTAGTATGAAATTGTAGCTTAAAATCAGGCAGAGCTGGGCACAGTGGCTCCCACCTGTAACCTCAGCTACTTGGGAGGCCAAGGTGGGAGGATCACATAAAGCCAAGAGTCCATGACCAACCTGAGCAACATAGAGAGACTCCTGTCTCTAAAAATACTTTAAAATTTAAAAATCAGATAGAGTAAGAATATTTATCATCCAAGAATCTGCAAATAGTACAGATCAGGACTTGACTTATTGCTTTCCTGATTGCCTAGACTTTAAAAAGTGGAGAAAATGTTAATAATGCAGACTAAAGTTAAAATTATATATGTCTGGAGCTATTGTACTATGAATAACACAAAAAGAGGAAATCTTCCAGTATTTGAAAATTGTGATTCCCTAAGACAAGAAATCCCTTTTGTCATTCACAAATGAGTCAAGTTCCTTCCGACACATGTCTTCATCGTTTCATTTTCTTCTTACTCATTAACATAAATGAGAATATCCAACCAACATTCATGTCAGAACTACACTGGTTCATCACATGGTTAGCTACAGGCACAAAAGTTCAGCAAAAATCAGTAAAAGCTTTCTGTGAGAATCAACTGGCTATGTGGAATTTACAATAAAGAGAGTATTGTATATTTTACTATTCTTTGTAAATTTGGTGCCATTCATCCTTTATATCAGTAATATAATACCCTTGAATACATGTATGTCTTCGTATATTTGTCCTAAACAGCCGGTAGTTAAACCTTTACCAGCAGACTGCTACTTGCAGCCCTTCTATTTCAAAAAGCAGCCAGCTGACAGCTCTTCCAGGGAACTAACATCCTTCAGGTTCCTGCAGAATCTTGTTCAAAATAAGTTTGTCAC